CCTGCACCAAGCCCATATAGATCTTTGCTTAAAGGTCAAAGGGGTGATCGTACCTTCCTGTGTTTTGTGTTTAAGTGCTGAAAAAGTCAATACTGGTGAGCACATCTGCTGAAGGTGGAGTAATACGTGTCCGCACACATTAACACTAGATTTTATTCATTTAAGCATCTGCAAACCCGATTAAAAGAACATAAAAAAAGCCAAGAGAACATGTTATTTTGGGGTTTTTTTTCATGCTTTTATTTCTATAACTGTTTTTGCAATTTGAGTCAGTGACATTTGGTTGCGGGATAAATACACATGCTGCACTCGTAGTCATTCATTGCTATGACAACAACAGATATCAAAAACCAGGTGGCTGAAAATAGAGAACGAGCCCACACGAAACAATAATGTCAGCTTGTTTGCTCCGAGGCCTTTTAAATGCCAGATGTGCGGTGCCAGACGCCAGTGTGCCAGGACGCCGCTTTCCTCCAGTCAGCTGATTTTTCAATGCAGAGCTGCAGCCAGGCGTACATTTAGCTCGGTTACTCTGTATGGAACCTGGGGTTACTGCGTGGTACACAGCAGAAGCTCGCACAATGCAACACTGTTCGCTTTCTTTTGGTGTACAGTCGACCGAGTGACTGCAGCTTCAGCGTGTTGTTCGTTTGAGACACAAAGGTTTGCTGCACTTAGTCATTCTAATCCTGGTTCTCAGCTGACAGGTGGCAAAAAAAAAAAAAAGTACATTTACAAATTCAGCAGCAGCAAATAACCTTAACCCATGTTTAACATTGAAAGTAACTGAGGGAGAAAAAAAAAGAGAAAATTATTCAAATCTGCTTTAATTCAAGCCTGCAGCCTAAGCAAGAAAAAAAAAACAGGAGTATGAGTCTGCAGCAAATTTCTCTGTGAGGCTCGTATTAAGGCACAGCAGTGTGCGGAGCAGTTATTTGGTAATAAACCACAGGACCTGACAAATTAAATTTAGACTTGATAATGGCACCAGATGAATAGTTTAAAACACTAAAATTCATTCTGAACTCATCCTGTGAATGCCCGTCCCAAAGCCAAAAGCAAGCCATCAGGGGTTGGTTCAGACATTAACCTTGACCT